ATCAATCCAATGACACCATCTTATGTTCCCCCTCGAACCAAATAACTTTTGTCTAAAACATTTCTTTCTAAAATACATAGTGTATGAAATATTCGACCGTTTCCAGACTTTTGGTCTGTATATACCTGTATACACCCTGTATATATTGGGTCTGGGAAAAAATTCGTGGCGTTTTTCCCGATAGATGGCGTCAATTGCAAATAACTCAGGAAACACAGATCGCAGCGACACCATTAAACGCTCGTTGGAAAGGTGACACTTCGAGCGTTACTTTGAGTGTATAAACATCGAAATTGGTGCAGTGGTTGGAAAGTTGTTTGCGTTTGAAAATGGAGAAAAGTAATGAAAAATTGCGCTACATTTTGCAATATTATTACGACAAAGGAAAGAACGCTGCGCAGGCCTGCGAAAAAATTTGTGCTATATACGGTGAAGGTACTTTATCAAAATCTGCTGCGCGGAAATGGTTCGCTCGCTTTCGTTCTAGTAATTTTGATGTGAAAGATGAGTCACGCTCTGGTCGTCCAATCATTGAAAAAGCTGATGAAATTCTTGAAAAAGTCCAGCAAGATAAGCATATCAGCAGTGTCGATATTGGTATGGAGCTAGGCATTGACCACAAAACTGTTTTGAACCATTTACACAAAGCTGGCTACAAAAAGAAGCTCGATGTATGGGTTCCTCATGAGTTGAGCGCGAAAAACGTGATAGACCGAATTAACATCTGCGATGCGCTGCTGAAACGCAATGAAATCGAGCCATTTCTGAAACGTGTCATAACCGGTGATGAAAAATGGATCACGTACGACAATCGGAAGCGTCAAAGATCGTGGACAAGGGATGGTGAGCCGTCACAAGCGTTCGCGAAGCTAGGATTAACGCCGAAAAAGGTGATGCTATATGTGTGGTGGGACTGGAAGGGAATCGTCCACCATAAGCTACTTCCAGTTGGTCAGACGATTGATTCTCAACTCTACTGTGGACAACTAGAGAAATTACGCCAGGCAATTGAAAGAAAACGGCCCGAATTGAATAATAGGAAAGGTGTTGTCTTCCATCATGACAACGCCCGACCTCACACTTCTTTGATGACCCGTCAAAAATTGCGAGAGCTTGGTTGGGAAGTTTTGATGCATCCACCGTATAGTCCAGACATAGCACCTTCTGACTATCACTTGTTCCGACCTCTGCAGAACTCTCTCAATGGAATTAAGCTGGTTTCAAAAGAAGCCTGTGAAAACCACTTGATTCAGTTTTTCAACCAGAAACCACAGAAGTTCTTCACCGATGGCATTATGGCTCTACCCGAAAAATGGCGAAACATTGTCGATAATAATGGAGCATATTTGGTTTAAATAAATTAATTTTCACACTATAAGAAAATCAGTTGAATTTTACTAAAAAAACGCCACGAACTTTTTCCCAGACCCAATATATTGTTTTATGTTTAAATTATAAGAACATTACCATGTCTGCGCAAAAAAAATTCATAAAATATGTCTGTTCCGCCGCGCTGAATCAGAAAATCCTCAGGACAATATTATATTCAAAATTATGTACATTAATAAATATGCAGTCTAATAGAAAGGTAATTTACTACGACGTTGAAGTTTGGAGCGTTCTTTCTAAGCGAAAATTGAATAGCCTTTATATAAAAAAGAACCACTTAATATAAATGTGAATACATATAAAAGATAAAGGACCCTGCACAAACCTTATGGAAATTGGGTTCCGGTGAATTTGTCTGAAAATTTGGGAAATGGTAGCTTCCGTCACGCTGATAAAAAGTTATCATTGCACCAAATTGATTTATAGCGTCGTTTAGGCGCTAGTGTTGTTTGAAAGTCAGGAATTGTGCGGTATTCTATAGATAGCATGGGTAGCATATCAGCTGCATATACATATATACATATATACATGTGTGTGTGTGTATATGTATGTGTGTATGTGTGTATGCGTGTATGCATGTGTGTATGTGTCATATATATGTATATATGTGTTCATGTATGTGTGTATGTACGGATAGGTGCTGCATGTGCACTCCATATATACCTTCATTATACATTGGTATTCGCTATATACACAATATTAGTGGCAAGACATTTAATTTTAAAAATGAATATTTTGAATGAATAGTTAAAATGAATACAAATAAAACCGTCCCTTTTCAGGGCCACAATAAAACCGGCTATTTTCAAAGCCACAATAAAACCGGCCCTTTTTAAGGCCACAAGATGTACAAATTCCGATTGGGCATCCTCCACGTGGTGTACATTGGGTAATGCTAATGCCGACGGTGAAATTTCTTAAAAAATATATTATAATTATTGTTCTATTTCTATGAAAACATATACATGCATACATACATACGTATACACAAACATACACACATACACACATACGTATACACACACACATATATATATGTATATATGTATATGCAGCTGATATGCTACCCATGCTACCCATAGAATACCGCACAATTCCTGACTTTCAAACAACACTAGCGCCTAAACAACGCTGTAAATCAATTTGATGCAATGATAATTTTTTATCAGCGTGACGGAAGTTACTATTTCTCAAAGTTTCAGACAAATTCACCGGGACTCAATTTCCATAAGGTTTGTGCCTTTGTGTTAAATATGATATGACATTATAAGAAAGTCTTGTTCTCCCCGAAAATTACGTACATATAATCATTCATACAGATAATAATTTCCATAGGACGTCCCAACACTTTGTGCCAAAAACTGACAGTGCATTTTCACTCTCTGGTATGTGGGAAAATAGAAAAAAAATAATTTAATAGCAATCGTGTCCCGGAACACTTTCGTTCTCCCCGAAAATTGTGTGCATACCACTACACTTAGACAGGTTATAATTATTTCCGGTAGACTCAACGCTTTGTGCCAAAAAATGACAATATATTTTTACACTTTGGTATTAGAATTACGTGCGTTGTAGGTTCTCTCGAAATATTAAAATATTAAGATATTATTATGATACAAACCCACAAGAAAATTGGTTTATGAATAACATAACTGAAGAAGTATATGAAAAGTATATGAAAATGTTAATATCATATTTATATCAATCTCACTAGAGACTAATTTTCAATATTGATTAAAAAAGTATTATATCGAGCTTTTATAAGCATAAAAACTATAAAAAAAATCATTATTTACAAATTTCTGAACGCTTGTTCCAAAACAACTTTAAAAAGATTATACTAAATAGATTTTAAAAAGAACAAAATATGTGACAATTGTTCATTCCAAAAGATTGGCGATGATATTAATTCCAGAGTATATATTTTTTTTGTTTTGTATCATATACATTGTATCATATACAGTATTGAAAGCACGATTTCTGAACTTCGAGAGAACCTACAACGCACGTAATTGTAATACCAGAGTGTAAAAATATATTAGCACAAAGCGTTGAGCCTGCCGCAAGCAATTACAATTTGTCTGACAAGGGAACGGTCGGGGGCGTCCCTCACCGACTTGAATGGGCATTGAATATGTTGTAGAGGATCAAAAAATATTAGACACGTATTTTTTTATATGTGCTTATCTCGAAGTTTAGGGGTTGAAATCACTCCTTGAAGAAAACGGATTTTTTCGTTTTTACCAAATATCTTCTAAAATATGAGAGGTATAAAAACATAGTAAATGTAAGAGTTTTACAGTATTTGATGCTCTTTGCATCTGTCAATTCAAATTTTTCAAAATATCAAATTTACCCTCCTCGCTTCCCCCTCCATTCATTATTTTCGCAAATTTCAAAAATTTTGTAAGGACAAAAATTAAAGAGCATTGAATTCCGAATCCAACCATATATAATAATGTTACTTTCCGAGATACGGACTTTTCGAAAAATAGATAGAAATGTCCGTGTATACCCGTAACACGCTATGCACAGCGCCTACCTTACTCGATAATATACGCAACACGTCCTCTTCGAATTTCTTTCGAATAATAGGCGATTAATACCAATACGGAGAATATGTAATCATAAAAAATTTCAATATATAATAACGTTATTAATAACAATCATAAATTTATACACAACAATATTTCTAAGCTTTGTCTTTATAAAAAGATATACGTATACGCTCTATGAAAGTTAGATTTTATGTATGATAAGTTTGTGTGTCTATTTTTGTGGTGGGTGACGTAAGTACTACGACGGAAGTGATACATGAATTGCAAAATCAATCATGTTTATTAACGCGGCGTTTCCATCGAATCTATGACACGTGAAAAACGCCGCATTCATGAAATCATATGTGATTGCATAATTATATCTAATATGATATTGATAACGTAATTATTTTTACGCACACGCACCACATATATACATACACATCTACAATCATGAAAGTGTTGTGCCGTCGTATTATTGTCATATCTTCTTTCCATCCTGTTTACTTTCGATTTTGTCATAGTTCTAATAATAGATGAACATCAAGTGTCGTAGACGTTACAGTTATGTGAGCTATTTAAAGTGCTGGAAAGCAGCCACTTTGTGCAACGCAAATCATGAGTAAGCGTAATATGTAGAGATACACTTCATATATAAGCAGTAATACAAGCTAGTGTCGCAGTAAGTATCCATTGTTTCACGACGTATCATTTGTGAGCGCAAGTTTATAAGTACATATTGCTTTCTCTCTATGTGTGTGTTTAAAACTTCTTTTAATATATTATTTTTTAAATATATAAGTATGTATTACTAACTGATATTATTATTTTATATTTATTATTATTATTTATTATTATTACTAACTGATATTATTATTTTATATTTATTATTTCATATCTTGTCACTCTCTATTTTATATTATTGGAATGACAATAGTTCGTCGAGTTATCAGTAATGTGATAATATACGGAAAAATGGAGCGAAATTGAGCAAGAGTTAAATTATAAATTATATATAATAATGATTAATAATCAAAGAAAATTTTTACTAATTTGAAGAAAAAATATGTGTAGTTATTTCAATTTCAGAATATCTACATACGTAAATGTAGAGCTATCTTTCCGTTTTCACGACATTAATTTATTCTGGATTCACTACATTTGACAGATAGAAGAAGCGGCATCAGGATTAACATAAGAAAATCACTGCATTAATTATAAAGTGTATTTTATTTTATATATTATTTTATATATCATGGTTCGAGAAAAATATTTCATTTTAATATTTTTCAGAATGATGCAATTTAATCTCTTGAATGTTATAATGTTACTCTATACAACTTTCATTACTCTTAACTTTCCACAAAGTCCGATAACTCCAAAAGAAGTAGAAGTGAAGGAGAATATTGAATATTTGTTAAAAGAAATAGAAAATGAAGAGGAATTTGAAATAGAAGAGGAAGAAACTTTAGATTTTTACAATACATATGAAGTTCCAGAAGCGGAAAATATTGATTTATTAGAGGAAAATGAAAGAAAAGAATATCTCCCGGAAGAAGTTATTTGTAGCTCCGTTGAAGCAGGAATATTAAATGATTATAAAAGACAAGCTGTGGAATACTGGAAGAGCGGCAAAACAGGACTAAGATCGCTTGAAGGAGTTAAAAGAAGATACAGAAAAGTAACATCGATGCGACAATTACGACGATGGGAGGACTAAATCAGTGCAGGTGGCAGAAGAGATGAAAAATTAAAAAGAATTTCTGAATATACAATAAACCGTTTTAATGAAGCGCTTGAAAATAGAATAATTATTCATGACATTGACATTGCTCGATGGGCTTCTCGAGCACAAGAAGAGGAAAATGTGGTAGGATTCAAAATTTCTAAAACGTGGGTAAAAAGATTCAAAACTTCATATGATATCGTCTCTCGAAAAATAACAAAATTTATAACAAAAAAATCATTGTTATCGAAAACAGATTTAGAAGATAAGTGTGATACATTTATTGAAAATGTAAAATATTATATTGAACGATACGGCGTAGACAATGTTTATAATTCGGACCAGAGTGGATTCCAACTTGAATTTCACTCTGGTCGTACTTTATCCCAAAAAGGTCTAAAAAATATAGAAGCTGTAACTAACTGTACAATCTACATCAGCAACCACACACAGTTATACTATACAGCCGACTATTTCTGCAGATGGTAGACTATTATCGCCTCTTTTTATTAATTTAAAGGAAGTAACAGGAACATTCAGTCCTAGAGTAAAAGAAACTATGTTCAAAGCACCTAATATTTTTGTTACGGCTTCTAAATCAGGCAAATTAAAATCGAGTCATATAAAAACTTGGTTGAGAGAAATATTTTTTCCGAATATCGGGCCACAATCCGTATTATTATTAAATTCATGGAGTGGACATTGTCCCAATGTAATTCAGGAAACCAGATCGGATTTTGTATCAGATATTGTTTTCCTAACCATTCCGGCCGGTATAACGGGAAAAATACAGCCATTAGATGTATACGGCTTCCGATGATGGAAAAATTTTATTAGGCATTTTTCTGATACTGTTATGTTATTAAATCTTGCAATTGATCTTCATGCTGGAAATAATATATTGAAATTGCAATCATTAACGCATCATCAATTCTCGTCGCCCAGATTTCAAAATTTATTTAAATATGGCTGGTTTAAAATTGGATATATACAGACTAGACCAACAGAGTTTCAAACACCGGTTGAATTTTGCTTCCAAAGTGATTTAAACATAAAATGCGATATTTGTGGCCAAACTGCTATAATTACTTGTCCTTGGTGTAAAAAATCATTGTGTATGACACATTTTTTCCATAATCATCACCTTTGCAACGAATACGTACCATAAAAATAATACAAATTCATTATTCGCGCGCGTGTTCATACGCAACTTGTGTACTGTTTCTTTATCATATATATTGTTAAATATATTGGGTCTGGGAAAAAGTTCGTGATATTTTTTTAGTAAAATTCAACTGATTTTCTTATAGTGTAAAAATTAATTTATTTAAACCAAATATGCTCCATTATTATCGACAATGTTTCGCCATTTTTCGGGTAGAGCCATAATGCCATCGGTGAAGAACTTCTGTGGTTTCTGGTTGAAAAACTGAATCAAGTGGTTTTCACAGGCTTCTTTTGAAACCAGCTTAATTCCATTGAGAGAGTTCTGCAGAGGTCGGAACAAGTGATAGTCAGAAGGTGCTATGTCTGGACTATACGGTGGATGCATCAAAACTTCCCAACCAAGCTCTCGCAATTTTTGACGGGTCATCAAAGAAGTGTGAGGTCGGGCGTTGTCATGATGGAAGACAACACCTTTCCTATTATTCAATTCGGGCCGTTTTCTTTCAATTGCCTGGCGTAATTTCTCTAGTTGTCCACAGTAGAGTTGAGAATCAATCGTCTGACCAACTGGAAGTAGCTTATGGTGGACGATTCCCTTCCAGTCCCACCACACATACAGCATCACCTTTTTCGGCGTTAATCCTAGCTTCGCGAACGCTTGTGACGGCTCACCATCCCTTGTCCACGATCTTTGACGCTTCCGATTGTCGTACGTGATCCATTTTTCATCACCGGTTATGACACGTTTCAGAAATGGCTCGATTTCATTGCGTTTCAGCAGCGCATCGCAGATGTTAATTCGGTCTATCACGTTTTTCGCGCTCAACTCATGAGGAACCCATACATCGAGCTTCTTTTTGTAGCCAGCTTTGTGTAAATGGTTCAAAACAGTTTTGTGGTCAATGCCTAGCTCCATACCAATATCGACACTGCTGATATGCTTATCTTGCTGGACTTTTTCAAGAATTTCATCAGCTTTTTCAGTGATTGGACGACCAGAGCGTGACTCATCTTTCACATCAAAATTACTAGAACGAAAGCGAGCGAACCATTTCCGCGCAGCAGATTTTGATAAAGTACCTTCACCATACACAGCACAAATTTTTTCGCAGGCCTGCGCAACGTTTTTTCCTTTGTCGTAATAATATTGCAAAATATAGCGCAATTTTTCATTACTTTTCTCCATTTTCAAACGCAAACAACTTTCCAACCACTGCACCAATTTCGATGTTTATACATCGAGTACACTCAAAGTAACGCTCGAAGTGTCACCTTTCCAACGAGCGTTTAGTGATGTCACTGCGATCTGTGTTTCCTGAGTTATTTGCATTTGACGCCATCTATCGGGAAGAACTCCACGAACTTTTTCCCAGACCCAATATATTATTGCCAGTATTATTCTTCCACAATTTAGTATATTATTCCTCTCTATCCTGTTCTTCTATATTATTATTCTGTAATTAGTATTAAGCTCTTCGTTATATATTGTTTAGCAATTGTTAATGCTGTGTTATATTTTCATATCGCATGCTTGCTCTTTCTTGCAAAGGTAATAGAATCTGTGTTTCCTTATTTCATGCGTTACGACTTTATTTTAATTCGTCTTGATCGTGTGTCGACTTGCCATTACAATAAACATATTTATTTCAAGAAATATACAAATATACATTGGAAATTTCTGTACAAATAGCGACGCTGCACACGCATTTGCTACTGTTGCCACATATGCACATTTATCTGTACTCACTGTTTATTTTTTGTATAATACATGGTATATTGCAATTAATTTGTTTTCATCTTGCAGTAGGATAAATTATGCACAGATAGTTATTAAGCATAGCGCAAATGAAAAGAAAGAACGCCATGTAACAGTACCTACTCGCACAGTGTAGTGCCTACCATGATATCATCGTACTGTTTTTCTAAAAATTGAATCGAGGAATACTATTATTATATATGGATGGATTCGGAATTCAATGCTTTTTAATTTTTGTTCTTACAAAATTTTTGAAATTTGCGAAAATAATGAGTGGTGAGGGGGAGCGGGGAGTGAATTTGATATTTTGAAATAAATTTGATATTTTGAAAAATTTGAATTGACAGGTGCAAAGAGCATTAAATACTGTAAAACTCTTACATTTACTATGTTTTCATATCTCTTATATTTTAGAAAATATTTGATAAAAACGAAAAAATCAATTTTCTTCAAGAGGTGATTTCAACCCCTAAACTTCGAGATAAGCACATATAAAAAAATACGTGTCTAATATTTTTTGATTCTCTACAACATATCCAATGCCCATTCAAATCAGTGAGGGACGCCCCCAACCGTTCCCTTGTAAGTATGGTACGTAGTATGCGCACAATATTTTGGGAGAACGAAAATGTTCCGGGACACGATTGCTATTAAACTATTTTTTTTCTATTTTCCCACATACCAGAGAGTGAAAATGCACTGTCAGTTTTTGGCACAAAGCGCTATGACTGCCGGAAGCAATTATAATCTGTCTGAGTGTGGTGGTATGTGCACAATTTTCGGGGAGAACGAAAGTGTTCCGGGACACGATTGCTATTAAACTATTGTTTTTCTATTTTACCACATACTGGAGAGTGAAAATGCACTGTCAGTTTGTGGCACAAAGCACTGTGACTGCCGGAAGCAATTATAATCTGTCTGACAAGGAGAGTGATACAACTGTTCTGCATCGATTTGAATGGGTTTCGGATATGTTGTACAGCATCAAAAACTAAGGGACAAGTATTTTTTTATATCGGCTTCGGAGGATGAAACCACTCCTTGAAGAAAATAGACGTTATCGTTTTTAGCAAATATTTTCTATTATAAATTATGAGTCATATGAGAAAAAGTTTCAGACAAAAGTTTTGCAATATTTTATGCTCTTTGCAACCATGTGTTCAATTTTTTAAAATTTCAAATGTTGAACTACTCTCCCCCCCCCTCTCGTTACTCTGATAAAATTTTTAAGTTTTTGTAAGGACAAAAATTGTAAAGCATTAAACACCAAATCCATCCATATATAATATTAGAAGATGGTATTTAATATTTTGGACAAAATGCAATGAGAAAGCTTCATGGTATACGAGGGCGGTCCGATAAGTACTTAGCCTCACCGCCCGATGGCGCCACTATCGCAAGAGAAATTTACTATCGTGTAGTACATTCTCGTAAACGGCTACTGTCGAAATTTCAGCCGAATCGGACTCGTAGTTTTGTTTTGACCGCGTGTGGAAGCGGGCGTGTCCGCGGATTTCAGAAAAATGGAAAAAGAGTAATATCGGTCGATGATTCGATTCTTGTTTTTGGAAGGGAAATCGCGCAGCGAAATCAAAGAGCGCTTGGATGCTGTGTACGGTGACTCTTCTCCTTCGATGGCGACCGTCAAAAATTGGTTTAACGAGTTTCAACGTGGTCGCACATCGATTTTTGATGAGCCACGCCCAGGTGCCCCGACAACGGCTACCACGGAGGATAACATGACAAAAATCCACGATCTCGTATTGGCAGACCGCCGATTGAAGGTGCGCGAGATAGCTGAGACAGTAGGCATCTCAAAAGACCGCGTGGGTCATATCCTGCATGAAATTTTGGGCATGAGAAAGCTGTCGGCGCGATGGGTGCCGCGTTTGCTCACTCCAGACAACAAGCACAACCGTGAGACCACTTCAGAGCAGTGTTTGACGCTGTTTATGCGCAATCCGAAGGAGTTTCTGCGTCGTTTCGTGACCGTCGACGAAACATGGATCCACTGGTACACACCAGAGACCAAGGAACAGTCGAAACAGTGGACTTCACCCGGCGAACGTGCTCCGAAGAAGGCGAAGACTGTCCTATCGGCCGGAAAGGTGATGGCCACCGTTTTCTGGGATTCACAAGGTGTGATCTACATCGACTACCTGGAGAAGGGCAGAACAGTCACAGGGCTGTACTATGCCGAATTATTGGGACGATTCGACGCCGAATTGCAGAAAAAACGGCCCCATTTGGCGAAGAAAAAAGTGCTCTTCCACCATGACAACGCACCGGCTCACAC